AACCTGGAATGAAAGAGGTGTATCTAGTGGATAGATGTGTGAATAACTGATGAATAGGCACAGAATTTCAATGTCATTGCAACCTGGAGAGCCATACTGGAAGCAAAGGCCATGTGTATGAATAGGTGTGACTACATGTAAAAGTAACAAATTAAGGTAAAAGTTAGGTGTGTAACATTTTTGAAATTTAGTTTGGAATTTTCATTAAATAGAATAGTTTCTAACTAGTTTCTTTTTAAATATTAGAAATATTTCTAATTATCCAAGTACTGCCTGAATTGCCTTTGAAATAGTACACACATGCACCCTGAACAGTTGCTTTTTTGCTCAGATATTTCTTTTTCAGATCATGCATATAAATGTATATTCACAAAACATATTTAGTATTTATGTACATTCCTGTTAGATCTTGCCTCTATAGAACTTAGTCATGGAAACTAATTTAACAAAGTTGCCATTCACATTAGCTTCATATTCTTTTTAATTTTCAATTTTTTATTGAGACCAAGTAATAATTATGAAGGTAGTGATAAATGATTAAACTTTAAATACTTTTTCTAAGCTCCCAGTTTTCTTATGTTTTTCTTTCTTGTTTATATCTTAACAGCAAGCATCTATAGCAGCAGTAGCAATGAAGAGAGGCATGATTTTTTTTTTTTTCATATTGTTAGAAGTCAGTGAAATTGGGAATAACTGGAGAATTAGATTACAATACAGTAGTCCTCCCTTTACAGGGATCAAGAGACATGATTTTTATACTTAAACTTTTTTAGCTTGCTAAGAAATAATTTTAATGGTGATTGATTATGTGATAATTATACAAGGTAGCTCTTTTACTGTAGATATGTCACCTACACATGAACATAGGACAACTTATTTAAATCTCAGGAATGACAAAATTCTAAAATATGTTGAAATAAATTTAACAATAAAGAAATTATATAAAAATAGAAAATTTCATGTTTGTCAGGTATAAACAAAATATGGGAGCCTAGAAAAGGAAGGTTTCCTGCAGAAATACAGAAGACTTCATGTAGGACTTGGCATATTAGTTGACTTTGCCAAGTAAGTAGCCATGCTATATGTGGAAAATGCACAACAGAAAGGAATTTTAGATAAGAATTTAATTCTCAGAATTGTAAAAATGAAAATGTGCTTTAAAAAAAGCCAATAACATAGTGGGACTGACACACATGATGTTGTGTGAGAAAGTACGACGTAATGGGAGATGAGGGTATAATGAAGTTGTAAAAGTTTCTGACTGGTTTAGGACCAGCTCTGTAAGCAGAAGAAAAGTGGGAAACTGAAATACAACAAAGTAAAACAGAAAATATTATAATTTTTAAACACAGACCTTTCGACTTGACAGACTAACAGAAACTATTATTGCTACTTCATTTGATGAGCTTTTAAAAATAGCTTCATTCAGTCAGATACTAAGCCATTTAGATAAGTAAAACATAATATTCATGAGAGTTTGCTATTATTTTCAGCTGCTAAGCCAGGTGCCCCAGATTGACTTAATGCCATTCATTTTGAGATAAACTTGAAATTCTTCCATTCATGCATCGGCTGTATATTCTAGGTACTTGAAAACCTCATTAACATAGAAATAATTTTTTTTTTTAAGATTTGATGTGGATAATGATGCTAGTAAAGCCTTTTACTAGATAGGTGAAAATTATAGATTTAGAAAAAAAATTGAGTGACATTTGAAGGGAGGTAAAATGTCTTGAACTTTTACAAGCACATTTAGTAGTTCTTATCGTGTGCTTGTCTCCTGTCGGTTTTATAATCAACAGTGGTATAATTGTCCAAAGATAACAAACACTTATCTATCTATATACCCACGTATTACTTACTAGCATATAGTTAAGTGATGGAATTGATTAACATTTAAAAATATGATGTTTTAGATTCAATAACCTTGAAAATAAAGCTACCATTTCTGAATAATATTGTGAGGAAGATAAACTGAAAAAATGCCACCACAAATAACATGAAGAATTTCATAACTTCTTAGTTTAACATGACACTGTCTTGAGATTGGTTCTTTGGGACAATCCTTTGTTCACAGTCAAGTATGTTCTTTGATGATGATGATGATGATCTTAAGTACTTTTAAGTCAAATTATTTGAACATTAAAACAGCATCACTTTCCTCATTAGTTTTTCTTAGATTGATGATAAGAAAAGAGAAACTGATAGCTAAAAATTTAGGTCTTATTAAAACTCTTCCATTACATTAAGTACTTACAGACCAGTAAATTATTTGTTTCTGGTTTATAGAAGAGAGGTTGGAGCATAAAGAGCCTCTGGCGCCTAAATGAAGGAAAAAAAAAAAAAAGGCTTTGCAAAATTTGAAAGCTTTAGTGGGGAAGTGTAGATGTTTGTGTGTTTTTAACAGGGACTTTTGAGAAATGCTAGGAATGACAGCTGTTCAGGGTTACCAGAAGTTGCATCAGGCTTTATCCAAATGTAACAAGTCCTAAAATGTGGCAATTTTTCATATTGATAGGGAGATAAAGCAAGGGTCTGTCCGACTGAATAAAAGAAGGAAGGAAAGAAGGAAAGATCATACTATCCTAATATTCTGAAGGGCATGCATATATTAGGAAGAGAAGAGGGCTCTGTGTACAACTGGGTCACACTAATATTAAAGAGGCAGATAGAGAAGGAAGATCTGTTGAAGAAGACCAAAAACAAATGTTCAGACTGATGTTTCTAAGTTAAGAGGTGTTTTAGAGATGTAAAAACAGTCTATTGCTACAGAGATATCACAAAGGAGGTTTGAGAAAAATTTATTGGCTTCATCAAGATACCGTTTAAGACCTTTGACAGAGGAATTTTGATAAGCTTTTAGTGAACTTGGTTAGATCAGGTTTTAAGGAGTGATTAAGTGTGTAGGAAGTGGGAGACTCAGAATTAATGACCAAGTAAACTTTGCTTTAACCCTTTGAAGATGTCACTTATTCTTTCACTAGACAAGCTAGACCATATGTTGATGTACAGGGAAGAAGTGGTTTTAAGAAAAAACTTTATTTGTTAATATTCCTCCATTTCTGTCTCTACTTACTGCCTCATTACAAGCCAGAAGCTGACACATTTTCATTAGAACAATTTCAATGTTTTTAAGGAAATATAAAATACAGATCTCTGGATTTACACAGAAAGTAATTTGCATGCTAAGGATTTACTACTGAAATTTGCTGTCATGGTTTGACGGAGTGCAAAAATAATATCCTCTGTTTCTTACCCAAGTTTAGAACCACTGGAGGTAAAAGCAGATGAGTTGTCTGCTAGACTTTAAAATATCTGCTTAAAATCGATAAAGTCTAGAGTTAAGGCCTCTATTTGTATAGCCACGATGGGATTACGAATATTTTGTTACTGAATTATACATATTTACTCATTTTGTTACTGGTACACCTGGACAGCCACAGGTGTGGAAGAACAGAAAATTCTTGTCCCTTCCTTAAGAACAGGAATGCAGAAGGGCTGAGCCATACATGTCCAGTAGTCCTTCTCAGCCTTAATCAGATAAATCTTTCCTCTTCTGGAGAATGGAAACATTCTTTGATATTGTTTCAGCTTCTGCAGAGAAACTAACCTTTAAGGAACTACTAGGTGTCCAGTTTTAGCTCTCAATGAATATCCACAATATCTGAAAAGGCTATATATATTGTATATATTGAGACTAAGTTTTTTTCATCTGTTCAAACCAAAACAGCACATTAACCAAGATTGAATACAGAAGTAGATACGAGAGTCCAGTTATCTTTTGTTGAACCACGTTATTAAGATTCATTTTTTTTTTTTTAAAAGAGACAAGGTCTTGCTCTGATGCCCAGGCTGGAGTGCAGTGGAGCAGTCCTAGCTCACTGTAGCCTGAAACTTTTTAGACTTAAGTGATTCTCCCACTGCAGCCTCCCAAGTAGCTGGGAATACAGGCATATGCCACCAGATGCAGTTAATTTATTTTTATTTCTCATGGAGTTGAGGACTCCCTTTGTTCCCCAGGCTGGTATCAAACATCTGGCCTCAAGTGATCCTTCCACCTTTGCCTCCCAAAGTGATAGGATTACAGGCATGAGCCGCCAGGCCTGGATGAGATTTCATTTCTGAAATGAGATTTCTGTTTTAAATTCTGAAAATTTAAAACAGTGCCATTTTTCTTACTAAATTTTTTTGTTTGGAAATAATAGCTTTTTTCATTAAAATGCTAATTATGTTAATATGCAATAGGTTTATAACTGTTACATTTAAATAAATTACTAAATAAATTGAAAAAAGTCTCAGTTTTGATTTTTTAATATGTTAAATGTCTATAGGAATAATATAAATGAAAGCTCTTTGGGATTCTTAATAACTTTTAATAGTGTAGAGAGGTTTTGAGAATCTGTGGTCTAGAGGAATTCACATATAATTTAGAAAGAAAGCAAGGCTTTATATAATCCAAAATATGCATATTAGGGCTTAAAGCAGTACTTCAATATGAAGTATTTTTCAAATGACAGTATTAAGGTAAGTTTTGTAGTTATCATGCTTTGTATTATTTGGAATCATATTATTTTGGAATTTTTCTAAATCGTCATTTTTTATTTTATGTCTTTAATGTACAACAGAGGAAGTCAACAATGAAATAAAATATTTGCAAAACTATATATTTTTGTGAACATTTAATTTTTTCAAACCATAGTTGCTTTCCTGAACAAGCTCGATACTTTGTAAGAATATAGAAAAAAGATGTTCTTTGATAATCTTTGGAATATTCCTGATATCTTACATGTAACAATATTTCATATCTGAGTTAAGTGAACAAAGTATATTTTAAATTTTTTTAATAGTACTGTCTAATGCCATTTTGGAATGTATGTAGAGGTTAATTTGCTATTATATAAAGCTCTTCAGTTTAATGATAACTGTTTATCCTTTTATCATGTAACATATGGTGGTCAAAATGTTGGTGAGTTTCTGATTTTTCTTTTTTTTTCTTTAAGCAGATAATCTCAGTGATACCTTAAAGAAGCTGAAGATAACAGCTGTTGACAGGACTGAGGATAGTTTAGAAGGATGCTTGGATTGTCTGCTTCAAGCCCTGGCTCAAAATAGTAAGTTTCATTATGTTTACTCAAATTCCAAACGAGAAAATCAAATTCAGTAGTCATTCAGAAACTGGCGTGTAGTTAAGCACATAACTTTGTATTCATATAACTTGAATTCTTTTGAATCATATCCCTGAATACTGAGATTGTTTTACATGTTCCATCCTCCTACCCACCCTCCACGCCCCCCCAGGATCCTCAAAGCCAAATTGATAGGCAAAGAAAGGAGGAATTGATGGGTGGTGATGACATTAATACCAGTCCCAGAGAGAGGCCGTTGTTTGTTCCTAACAGTAAAGCATCATAGTTGTTTTTCTTAACACCTACATTTGTGCTTTAAAAATAGACTGTTTTATATGTAGGGACAGTGGGGAAGGAGAGAGAAGAGAAACAGAGGGGAGCTTAAAACATTTAACATTTTTTGAGATATTATCATATTTTAAAATAATTGTACTTTAAAATAATATGTATGCATAGATTTGGAAAGAACCATTAGTAGTCATCAAAAGTCTTTTGAAGTTGAGATAAGATTTTATCTTTAATGTGGTAAATAATGCTAGAGATAGAAACTGCACAATTCTTCTTTGACACATTGTATTGCATTTTATTTATCTTATTTCTATTCACTAATTTCTGTATTATCACCATTAATAGATCGGTATAGAGTGATTTTCATTTGTTATCTTAATTGTGCTTGGTTGTGCTATGGTTTGTTCTGTACTTGTTTTTAATTATGCTGTTGTCCTATCCTGAGACTAATTATGCAGCTAACAAAGAATTGAGAGGCAAGTGTATATTGTTACGGTTTTAATTGTAGTGTTTCAACACTTGTTGATATATGTGTTTTTTAATTTTTAGTAAATCTTGACTAGAAAAATCTAAAATGATTGCAGTGCTCTTCATCAAAAAAGTGCATTTTAGAGCTAGCTTTTAAAATTCTTTTTCAGTAATTATTTTGAGATTATAACTCTGTCAAGCTGTTTAATCTTGGAGATAACAGAGAAGGGATTTGAAACAAGGAGTTTAACCAGAGCATCTGGATAAGGCTCAAAATGGAAAAGAAAAAAGACAGGGAAGGAGAGTGTCAAAGACTGCTATCCGTTTTAATAGACACATGTGGCTATTTAGATTTAATACAAATAAGTAAAATTGAAAAGTAAGTTCCTTAGTCTCACTTCTCAGTAGCTATATTTGGCAGATGACCACCCTCTTGGGGATCACAGATATAAAATATTCCCATGATCATAGAAAATTCTTATGGATAGCACTGATCTAGAAATTAGAAAGAACCACACAATGACCTGATTTTTTTTGTTTACATGTGCCACAATGGGCAGCTTTCCACAGTAACATAATTAGCCTAAGTAAATTAAGTATCTCAGGTATGTTTTTTTGAACAGCTGTTTTATGATAACCTTTGTCTGTTTTCAGTGACCCTTTTTTTTCTCTGTTAGAAAACAGTAAACTTTGAAATAGACCATTTGTTTTAGAAACTGAAGAACATGTGAAGGGTCATATTCTTGGTCATCTGTAGAAGGTTGCCCATTGTCTCCTAGAAAGACTGGAAGACACAGATGAAGTTGAAGGGAAATGAAGAAGAAAGGGAGCAAAAGTTTATACCTTTTTAAAGAAAAGATTCAAAAAATATTGACAAGTTTATAATTAGTGGATTACATTTCAGCCCCATTGTGAGCTTATTCAGTATACCTTTTGTTGAAAATGGTCTTGAAATTGTATATCACAAAATGTTAAGACCATGTAACCACAAGTTGTTGAAACAATAAACTCTCACAAATTTAACTAGTGACAACCCAGGAAGGGAACGAACAAAAGGAATGTCTTGTTAATCAAACAAAATTTATAAATGTTCTCATGCCTAAGACTGCTAACAAAAAAGAATTTGACATTAGAAGAAGGAGTTCATGCAGATATCCAGTCTTTGATTTAGGAATTATATCTGTCATTGGATTTCTTACTGTATGTTTAATACTGGGCTGGGGATTATAGCCACTGTCTAGTCTTTCCTCCAGCCCTATGAGATAGGTGTTATTATCACCATTTAAAGGATGAGGTAACAGATTAATAAGCTTACTTGCCTTGCTCTGGAAGAAGCCAGAGTTTGGATTTGAATTCTTGGTTTACAAAATAAAAAATTATAATCTGAGTAAAGTGAAGCTTTTTGTTGAGTTTATGTAATGTGAAACTGTTCCAAGAAGCTAGATTTTAATATTTTCTTAAATGTTTGCTTTTTAAAAAAAAAAAAAAGCTTCCAAATTTTTATTAAAGTAGATAAGCCTGTTTTACTTGAACTATAAAGTGATATATGTATTTCATAAACATTTATTGATATACTTTATAAAGTGAGAATTTGGCTTTTTAACAAGAAAAAGTAAAATATATTAGTAAGATGTTAATTTTCTATAATTCTTCCTTGAATAAGGTGATTGGACCATTGCTACTTCTGTCCTCCTAAATGTAAAATTATAAAACATTTAACTTAGAAGAATCTGTACTTGCTTTTATAAAAACAAAAAAAACCAGAGAGCTTCAAGTTTCATAATTCTTCCTTAGTGTCAGGTGTTTTAACTAAAAATAATCACGGTTTGCACCTGAGCAGGAAAGAAAGATTTCTCCATTCTATACAAATATAAGATGGTAATGTATATAATGGAAATATAAACAAAATTTTATTTTGCATTCTACTACCCTGTTACTGGAAAGGTTATTTCTGAAAGGAACAAAATAATAATGCTTTTGAAACTTTTACACTGTGTGAATTTAGTGCATTTGAATTGCATATTATAAATGACTGTAATCTGAAATTAGAATTTTTACTTTGATGTATGGCTTTAGAGTGATTTTCTTTTTTTACCATTGGCAATATTTCTCTCTGTAACGTTTATAGTATATGTGTCATTTTTAAGAGACAAGAAGATTTGAATACTTACTAGATTTTGTGAAAACATTTTGTTTAAGCAAGCATTTTGCGTAAATCTTTGATTTAAATTAATGTAAAGTCATTCATTCACTCATATAAATACATCAGATCTCAGTTTAAAAATGTTTTTAGTAAATGTGTGAAGGATACCAGCCAAGAAATCAGCTTCTGTTTATTTTGGTCTCTTTTGATTCAGATTATAGTTAGAATATTCTCAGTAAATGCTTATTTAATTGTAGTATGGTTACTCTTTTATGCTTATTTGGAAATGTAAAACAATAGGCCACCTATTTTCATCCCTAAACATTAAGGCATGAATTGTCTTTGGAGAATATGGCATCTAAATCACCTTGCAAGAGAAACTAGTAGTTTAAAGGCCCAAAGACAAGAAAAATTAACATTCTATTTGTAATAAAAATTCTATTTATTTTATCCCATTCTGAGGATGAGGACCATTTTGTGTCGCTAGGTGTACCATAAAGTGATACCATACAGCTTTAAACTCTCTTCCTGAAGAGTTATCTTCCTTTGTCTTACTCTCTTTCTCTCTTTTTTTTTTTTATATTTAGCTTAGTTTCTTGCTTGATGGCAATTCCCATTTCATAGGACAGTCACATAATTATTTTTTATAGAACAACTCTGTGAGATACTGTGTGTTTACTTGTCTTTAAAGAAAAAAAGCATTTAATTTCTAGTTCCAAATCACTAACCTTCTATCATAATATTCAGTCACATGTTGAATTCTTTATTTTCTACCCCTAAGGAATTTGCTAGCCCTTGTTCTTTATTTCATTTGCTGTATTGATTTTTGGCTCCCTTCAACAATCCTAAGCATACGTAATTATAGGCACACTTCATTTTATTGCGCTTTAGTTTTTGCACATCACAAATACTGTATTTTTTACATATTGAATGTTTATGGCAACCTTGAGTTGAACAAGACTTTTGGTGCCATTTTTCCAACAGCATGTGCTTTGTGTCTTTGTGTTACATTTTGGTAATTCTTGTAATGTTTCCAACATTATTATTATATCTGCTGTGGTAATCTGTGATTAGTTATCTTTGATGTTACTATTGTGATTGTTTTGGGGTGCCATGAACCATGCCCATATATGATGGTGAACTTAATTGATAAATATTGTGTCTGACTGCCCTACCAACTAGCTATGCTGCACCCCTTACACCCTGTCTCTATTCCTCTCCTTAGGCCTCCCTGTTCCCTAAGGCACAATGTTTAATTTAGGCTAACTAGTAATCCTACAGTGGCCTGTTTAAGTATTCTAGTGAAAGGAAGAGTCATATCTCTCTCACTTTATATCACAAACTAGAAATGATGAAGCTTTCTGAGGAAGGCATGACGAAAGCAGAGGCAGGTTGAAAGCAAAGATAGGCTAAAAGCTAGGCTTCTTGAGCCAGTTAGCCAAGTTGTGAATGCAGGGGAAAAGTTCTTGAAGGAAATTAAAAGTGCTTCTCCAGTGAACACATGAATGATAACAAAGCAAAACAGCCTTATTGCTGATAGGAAGAAAGTTTGAATGGTCTGGATAGATCAAACTAGCCACAACATTCCATTAAGCCATGTCCTAATCCAGAGCAGTGTCCTGATGGTCTTCAGTTCTGAGAAGGCTGAGAGGTGAGGAAACTGCAGAAGAAAAAGTTGGATGCTAGCAGAGGTTGGTTCATGAGGTTTAAGGAAAGAAGTTATGTTCACAACACTAAAAGTGAAAGATGAAGCAGCAGCTGCTGATGGAGAAGCTGAAGCAGGTTACCCACAAGATCTAGCTAAGATCGTTGATGAAGGAGGGTATACTAAATAACAGATTTTCAATATAGACGAAACAGCTTGATATTGGAAGAGATGCCAGCTAAGACTTTTATAACTATGGTGTAGAGGTCAATGCCCGGCTTCAAAGGACAGGCTGACTCTTGTTAGGCGCCAATGCAGCTGGTGACTTTAAGTTGAAGCCAGCATTCATTTACCATTCTGAAAATCCTAGGGCCCTTAAGAATGATGCTAAATTCCTCTACCTGTTCTTTGAAAAAGGAATAACAAAGCCTGGACGACAGCACATCTATTTACAGCATGGTTTACTGAATGTTTTAAGCCTACTGTTGAGACATACTGCTCAGAAAAAAAGATTTGTTTCAAAATATTACTGCTCATTGACAGTGCACCTGGTCACTCAAGACCTCTGACAAAGAGGTACACAAGGGCAAATGTTATTTTTGTCCCTGTTAACGCAACATCCATGGATAAAGGAATAATTTCTGAGTCTTAATATTATACATTTCATAAGGCTATAGCTGCCATAGATAGTGATTTCCTTCCAGTGGATTTGGGCAAACTAAATTGAAAACCTTCTGGAAAGGATTCACCATTCTAGATGCCATTAAGAATATTCGTGATTCATGGAAGGAGGTCAAAATATCAGCATTAACAGGAATTTGGAAGAAGTTAATTCCCTCTCTTATGGATGACTGAGCAGTTCAAAACCAGTGGAGGAAGTAACTGTAGATGTGGTAGAAATAGCAAGAGAACTAAAATTAGAAGTTGCACCTCAAGATGTGACCGAATTGCTGTAATTTCATGATAAAACTTGAACAGATGAGAGGTCGCTTATTATGGATGAGCAAAGAAAGTGTTTTTTTGAGATCGAATCTACTCCTGGTGAAGATGCTATGAACATTGAAATGACAACAAAGAATTCAGAATATTATATAAACTTAATTAATAAAGCATTGACAGGGTTTGAAAGAATTGACTACAGGTTTTTTTGTTTGTTTGTTTGTTTGTTTCCTTTTTGTGGAGAATAGGGTCTTGCTATACTGCCCAGGCAGGTCTCGAACTCCTGGGCTCAAGCTGTCCTCCCGCCTCTGTCTCCCTAAGAGCTGGGATTACAGGCGTGAGCCACAGCGCCCGGCTGACTTCAGGTTTTAAAGAAGTTCTATAGGTGAAGTGCTATCAAACACCATTGTATGCTGCAGATATCTTTTGTGAAAATAAGAGTCAATCAGCATGATAAACTTTATCTTATTTTAAGAAGTTGACATAGACACCCTAACCTTCAGCAACCAGCACCCTGATTAGGTGGTGGTTAGCCAGCAACCTTCAGCATTGAGGAAAGACCCTCCAGCAGCAAAAAGATTATGACTTACTGAAGGGTCAGATAATCTCTAGCATTTTTTAGCAATAAAATATTTTAAAGCAAGCTATGTACATTGTTTCTTTAGACATAATGCTATTGCAGACTTAATAGACTACAGTACAGTATAAACATAACCTTTTTTTTTTTTTTCTGGAGGCAGAGTCTTGTTCTGTCACCCAGGCTGGAGTGCAGTGGCACGATCTCGGGTCACTGCAGCCTCTACCTCCCATATTCAAACGATTCTTCTGCCTCAGCCACCCAGGTAGCTGGTATTATAGACACCTGCCACTACGCCCGGCTAATTTTATGTGGTTTTAGTAGAGACAGGGTTTCCCCATGTTGGCCAGGCTGGTCTTGAACTCCTAACCTCAGGTGATCCACCTGCCTTGGCCTCCCAAAGTGCTGGCATTACAGGTGTGAGCCACCACACCCAGCCTGTAAGCATAACTTTTATATCTATTGGGAAACAAACAAACAAAAAAAAGGTGTGATTTGTTTTATAGTTATATTCACTGTATTGAAGTGATTTAGAACCAACTTGCAATATCTCTGAGGTATGCCTTTATGTGTACAAGGTGCTAATCTAGATTACTCCGTGAATCTTCTCTAACAGTAAAAAGTTTTGTTGTCATTTCCTTTATGCGTTTACTATTTTTGAACAGACTCACTATGAGGTAGCAAAGTTACTTCCTAAGTGTAAGAGACTTCTTATTATCAATTGTTTTCAGTATCTGCAATCTCTGAACATACTCCTGCTGTTTTAGTAGAGATGAAAAACATTATTTTACTTTATTCTTTCATAGTAGTATCTTGACTAGATTTTTACCATTTTATCTAGAGTTAGTCAAATGTTCCACAAAGTAATATGTTTCTTTCACAAGCTGAATTCATTATTATTGTTATTATTTTTTACCTCCTTTGCTTTTTTTCATAGTGTTTGCCTCTTTGTTTGTTTGTTTGTTTGAGACGGAGTTTCGCTCCTGTTACCCAGGCTGGAGTGCAATGGCGCATTCTCGGCTCACCGCAATCTCCGCCTCCTGGGTTCAGGCAATTCTCCTGCCTCAGCCTCCTGAGTAGCTGGGATTACAGGCATGCGCCACCATGCCCAGCTAATTTTTTGTATTTTTAGTAGAGACGGAGTTTCACCATGTTGACCAGGATGGTCTTGATCTCCTGACCTCGTGATCCACCCGCCTCGGCCCCCTAAAGTGCTGGGATTACAGGCGTGAGTTGTTTGCCTCTTCTAGTGAATTGTTCATGAGGGCTTAGCACTGGTGCTCATTATGAACTACCGAAGATTCAGTTTTTTACCAAAGGTAGCATTTGAAGAATAGAGGAGATTCTCAACTAAAGCATCAATTAAAAAGACGTTGACAATTCCTGATGAGTTGAGACTCCTGGATTTCCATAGGATGGTTGTGGCCTCCTAAATCTGTATCTTTACATGCATTCTCTAAAAGTCCACACAGATCAACAAAG